AGCGCCGCCGCGCTCCCAAGCAGCGCACTGTAGCAGTGCGCCACCGGGCCGGCCCCCAGAATCCAACAATTTCTTACCACTCCACTTCTCCCACCCTGGTCCATGACACCATCCCCTCTCACCAAGATTAATTCCATAGCCTCCTAACCAGTCTCTGCTTCCAACCTTACCCTCATCGATGTCTCTTCAATACAGCAGCCAGCCAGAGTGAGCCTTGTAAAACAAATTTCTGTCACTCCTCTGTTTAAAACTTTCCAAAAGTGTTTCTCAAACTTTAAAGTGCATACAAATTACTTGGGATCTTGTTAAAAATGATGATTCTGATTCAGCAGGTCTGAGGTGGGGCCTGAGATTCTGCATTACTAACAAGCTCCCAGGCAATGGTGATACTGCAGCTCCAGACACTACATTTGAGTAGCAAGGGCCTGTGAGGCCTTGTGTGATTGGTCCCTTGTTATTTCTGTTTTCCCACTCCTCACTTACTCTGTTCTAGCCACTCTGATCTTGCTACTCTTCAAATAAGCCAGGTATAGTCCTGCCTCAGGCTCTTTGCACTGCTGTTCCTTCTGACTGGAATGCTCTCTCCTAGGCATGTGCATTGCCCACTCCCTTACCTCTTCTGCTATACTTTCTATCTTGTTCTCCCCCCATGCTTTTTCTCCATAACACTTATCACCTTCTAATATTCTATATAATTAATTATTTTGTTATTATGTGCTTCCCATCAGAATGTAAGCTCCACGAAGGCAGGGATTTTTGTCTTGTTGTAAAACAAGGCCTGGAAAATAGTAGGCACTCAATAATACTCGAAGGAATCATTGCTTGTAGCCACTAGGTAAACCATGAATAAGAAATATGTTAACTTGATAGCTGGTGTGAAAGAAGCCAAAATAATCCATGAATCCAGGGGAAGGGTCCTTAGAGCAGGGCTGGTGCTAAGCATAATGCCTGGAACACAACAGACATAAAAATATTATTTCCCCTTTGTCTTCCCATCCTTTCGCAAAAGTTATTTGATCCTCAGCCTGATTCTAAGGCTTTATATATAACCACATAGTGAGCCAACTATGTCCTATATTGAACCTATCCTAGTACAAATGTTTCTATGTAGAGTTTGGAGCCTGGGCTAATCTAAAGATTATTACAATATGGGGAGTTCTCACTTTTCCTGGTCATATACCCCTCCATTGGCTCTCTTGCTAACTGGCCAAGGTCAGAGATCGGGAAGTAAGGCTGGTGGAGGTGAACAAGACCGTACAGAGAGAGGTCTTAATGGCTCTTGCTCAAAATTCCAAGTATAATTTTGGAGGCGAGAATGGGAGGGGACCACTGAGACAATATTACAACCTACATTTGAATGCTGCTTTAAAAGTTTTCAAGCCTTGCTCATCTATATTTTCATTCTCATACCATTCCTAAGAGGTAAAGTAGAAACTGTCAGTTGAATGAACAGAAGCATGGAAACTTACTCAAGCTACTGTTAATGTTAAGCCTCTCCCAACTTGTTTCCAATTTTGTGGAGATTCTTAAGATATTTGTTGCCAAAAAGATCTTTTGGGAAACACGTTTAAAGTGACAAAGAACTACCACCTACAGACTCCCAATTTATAAGGAAGATGAATTCTGGAAATTCAAGAATGTGGACATGTGTAAGGATGGAAGGAATTAAGAGTTGGTATGACTGATCTAGGCTGACAGCTGTTCCTCTTCCTTAGGATGCACCCATTGATGTCTCTTATACCCTTGAGGACCAATCATTAGTTCAAAGGTAATAAATATTTGAGGACTTATTTTAAAACGGTGGGAGAAAGGTCATTACACTCCAGGAATCTAGCAGGCCCACAGCCACAGATAATTCATGTAATGGCTACTTTTCTTCTTTGGATCACCTATCCCATTAGAATGGGCTGAAAGTTGGATTCTGCCATTATCCTAGAAAATTATTTTTCTTAGTGTCTGGTTTTTTAGTGATTTGAAACTTGAGGATTAGTTGCTGGAGTAGGGTGGGGACAAAGTGGGTCATGTCTATTGTTTCTATGGGAAACTTCAAAATCACATGGAATTAACTCATGTATAATAATCCCTTTTATTTGTATAGCAGCTTTCTTGAAGAATCTTTACATATAAGCTCATGAATACTTTCACTGATGGGCCTAAGGAACAGTAAAGAATAGATAGAGAGAATCCTCCCTACCCCTCTTCCCCACCAAAAAAGGAGGCTTCTTGCTCACTAGCAACATAACAGTAAACAGGAATCCCTGGCTTAATGTTTTGTTTGACTTTAAAAGCTTTTGGTGTGTCTGTTTTTCTTCCTCTGTAGACCAGGAATGATTCGCTTTCGAGAAAAATGGCTGACGGACATTATCGAGACCAAAAATGATATACTGGAAATACTTGCTTCTAATTCAATATTTATTGCCTGATTTTTACCAAATGTTTTAGGATTGTTTTTCTAATCAGAATATATTAAAAATACAATACTGCACATCAAACCACAGAATATTTATTGAATAATAAACTTGAGGCACACAAGCCAGCTGTATTTTTTTCATTTTCCATTCTGCAACTTCCATCACATTAGCAGAGTAACCAGTAAGTTGTTTTCTATTTTCTAAAAGATTTCCCCCATCACTATGTGTGTCAGTTTAGAGTCTTGCAGGTACAGAGCTGAGTTTAGAGAGTTGCTAAAATTCACCTGAGAGACCAAACTAAGATTGGTACTTGGCTGCTTGTTCCTTCGTCTTGAGCCTAAGTCTCCAGCCCAGACACACCTCTTTATGAGCACAACTAGGGAAAAACAAAATGGCAACAGTTCTATAGCTCATAATACATGCAGTCTGAAGGTCTACTCACAGACCCCTTCATTTACTGTGAGTTAAACCTCACTGCTAAATAATACATTTTGCTCTGAAACTGGGCATGCTGCCTTCCATCCATGTATTGTACATGATGGCAGCAGGGTGGCTTGAGGAATGGGGGCAATGAAACAGGAATTGGCACAGTCATCACCCTTACTTATTTCTGTCTTCTTCCTATCCTCACACCAGATCATCACTTGTTCCTACATGCCCTATGAGGCTCTTTTGCCTGGCTGCAAAATTTTAAGACACCAAAGACAAAATTACATTACTCATTGAATAATTATTTACAAGTACATTAGAATACATAATTACATAGACAAGCACTGGAAAGGAACACAGAATACTAAAGACAATTGATGTGGTAGAACTGTAAATTTTCTTTTTTTTTTTACTGTTATATTTAAACAATAAATAAAAAAAGGAGGAAAAATCCAATCAGAGCAACAGGCAAGGAGGTGGGAAACTAGATAAGTCTCTCTGGAGAACAAAAAATATATTTAAAATACAATAACCTTACTATTTGACTTATGGCTCAGGTGAGTAAACACAGTTTGAAGCAGTAACTCTCAATGAGCTGAAAATAAAATACTTTTAGCCCTTTTATTCTTCCCTCCTTGTATTAGTCTGTTTTGTGTTGCTATAACAGAATATCTGAGACTGGGTAATTTATAAAGAAAAGAGGTTTATTTGCTTACAATTCTGGGACAGCTATGTCTGGCATGGGCCTCAGGCTGCTTCCACTTACGGCGGAAAGCAGCAGGCAGCTGTTGGGTACAAACAGATCACATGGTGAGAGGAAGCAAGAGAGAGAAAGGGGAGGTGCCAAGGTCTTTTAAACAACCAGCTCTTGTGGGAACTAATAGGGTGAGATCTCACTCAGGCCCCCCTCCCCTAGCGAGAGCATTAATCCATTCATGAGGGATCTGCCCCCATGACTCAAACAGCTCCCAATGCTGCCACATTGGGGATCAGATTTCCACATGAGTTTTGGCAGGGACAACACGTCCAAACTCTATAATTCCTCTTTCCCAAAGAATATGCTACTGAAGTTGTTCTTTGGCAGACTGTTCCCAAACAAACACTGACGAAAGAAATGGTAAGGTTCTGAAGTAATTTATTGTCTTTTCTTTCATTTACTCAACAAACAATTGTTGAGTATTTATGCTGTACAGGAGGCAAGAGAATCAAATAAAAATTCATAATTTTCATATATCACAAGATTGCTGCATTTAAACTACCTTGCCTACTGAAAATAAGAAAACATACTCATTTGGTTTCTAGGAAACAGTACCAAAAAATAATGTCCTTAGAGAACAAAGTTTTTAAGTGCGGATTATAAAATTTAGGTTTTATTATACAGGGAAGTAGATGGATTAAGACTCACAAGTTTGGGACCTAGTTTCCTTTTAACTTTTGAAAACGTAGGGTAGGCAGTAACTATGATTATGTATAGATAAATAAAAATCACTTCAAATTTAAGGATCATAAATGTGGCTACATGCTGAATGCTGTTTAGTAGTTGTGGGTTAAAAGTAGACATTTTCCTAGAACATATGTTAAACAGTAAAACTTTTGCTTTGACTGCCTCATTTAAAAACTTTTGATAAAAACCACTTTTAAACTATTATAAGGAGAGAGGAAATTTTATAATAGCAAAGTCAGAATTCCCCATTACCCAGATAATTTAAATTTACCATAGGCATAAAATAATAACGCAGATCAAAACATCCTTAACAAAAACAGCCAAAACTTTCACTGTCCCCTCTCACTTCACTCATGTGACCTAAGTAAAACTGAACAAAATAAGAGAGGGAAAAAGACCGTAATCTCACAGTCCCACAATTTTCCATTTCTCCCAAACTTTAAAGTCAATAATAGCATAAAAAAGTGATAAAGTGAGGGGGTTCTATACAAACTTAATGTTTGTAAAACATTTAAAATTAAACTGAATGACAGATTTAAAAAATAAACTGAAAGGTTTAACAATTGTATTAGTCAGGGTTCTCCAGAGAGACAGAATCAATAGGATATGTTATAATTATATGAGAGGGATTTATTAAGGGATTTAGCTCATGTGGCTATGAAGAAAAGGCCCACGATAGGACATCTGTAAATTGGATGCCAGTACTGTGGCTCAGTCCAAGTCCAAAGGCCTCAAAACCAGGGAAGCTGATGGTGTCCTTGGTGTAAGTTCTGGAACCCAGAAGCTGAAGAGTCTTTAGCTCTGATGTCCACAGACAGGCGAGAAGAGTGTATCCCAGCTCCAGGAGATCAAGAGAGTGAGCTTCACCTCTTTCCTCTGTCTTGTTCTCTCCAGACCCCCAGCGGATTGGACGGTTCCCACCCACACTGAGGGTGGGTCTTTCACACCCAGGCCACTCAGACTCTCATACTAATCTCTGCTGGAAACACCCTCATGGATACACCTGAAAAGATTGCTTCACCAGGTTTCTCAGCATTCCTTCATCTAACCAAGTTGACATCTAGAATTAACCTTCACAACAATGTTTAAAATGAAATCTGCTTACTACATAAAGGATAGAGTTAAAAATGCTTAATATCATTTTAGTTTCATCCTTATGAAACAACTAAATAAAAATACTAATTCATTGTATTTTCCCTATCAGAACTTTTTTTTTTTTTTTAGCAGCTGGCTGGTAACAGGGCTCAAACCCTGGATCTTGGTGTTACCAACACCATGCTCTAAACAACTGAGCTAACCAGCCAGCCCTGTATCAGAACTCTTGACCATAGCTGACTCCCATTCTTTTTAGATGTTATCCTATAATCGAAGTACAGCTTAGATTGAAACAATGTACTTACATTGGCATAACGGTAGACTTCCCAAGACTTTATACTTGAAAGAAACATTTTTAAGTAACATTAAGAACTTAAAAAACCTAATGTTCACATTTGCAATTCAACAAGTCTGTGGGTTAATTTGATTTCTCGTTTGTTGTTGGTTTTGTAGTGGAGGTAGGGGTATAAACAAAATACATTACTTCCAGGGAAGACTATATATGGTATTATATAAGTCAGTTTTCAAATTCCAGATTTGCTTTTTTCAGCAATGCCTTCATTCTGTTAACAAAAGTGGCCTCCTATATCAAGTCCATTTATAACACATTCAATGCAGAGGAATGAAAATTTCCCACAAGTTCAGTTGGGGGGTGGGGGACAGGCATCATGTACAGCTAAAAGTAGCACTGTCCCATGGCGGGAGATTTAAGTTTCTCATCCTAATGATACTTTCTCTCCATGACACCTCCCCCAATACAGTAGGATTTAATTCATAATTTGGATTTTTTAAACCAGAAAGTTATTATGGTCAATCCAAAAGAACCCAAAGAACTTGCTAAAGTTATATCAATAAGCAGCTTTTCATTAAAGGACTGAAAGAATTAAATAGAAGGCACAGTAGCACTGTAAAGCTTTTTCAGAGCATAATAATCTTTCTGTGTGTATGTGTAGAACCCAGACTTTTTTTTTTTTGTTAAAAATGTCTGCTGAGGGGTCGGCCCGTGGCTCACTTGGGAGAGTGTGGTGCTGATAACACCAAGGCCACAGGTTCGGATCCCTATATAGGGATGGCCGGTTAGCTCACTTGGGAGAGCGTGGTGCTGACAACAGCAAGTCAAGGGTTAAGATCCCCTTATCGGTCATCCTTATAAACAAACAAACAAACAAACAAACAAACAAACAAAAAATGTTTGCTGAACAATCAGAAAATCCTTATTTGTCATCCTTCCCTTTGGTCTTTCTGTATACCATCTCTCGAAAACTGGCCAGAATCTTGTTCTCTCTCTTTCGTCTCTCTTCTTGGTTAAAGGATGCAAGGGCTCTCTTCTCATCAGCACTATAGATCTGGTTCTCTTTTCGCAGTCGCACAGCCTCCATTCGGCGATGCCTGGAGATAATTTTATTTTTGGCTTAATTTCTCAGTTATTCTCATAGCATGTCCTCATTAATCCTTTCTTAACACAGTGCTCTATTTAAAAGCTGACAAATAGAAACTGTTTTTGAAATGAGTTTAAATTTTCAAAAGATCCTTCATTTTTTTTTACCAATGTGTTCTTTGATTCATTTCTAGTATTCAAATAATGATCTCTGATGTTCTGTCAACATAGTGAATGTTATTAATTTCAAATAATAAGGGCATGAGACTAGTTGTTTCTAGTAAAACAACCAGAAATGGGCAAATTATTAAACTTCCTAGGTGATATATGTCCATTTGCCTTTGTGGAATTAATAGAATATATGAAAGATTTAACTTGTCATCAATCATGTGGAAATTCTTTAAAGTTCTAATTTCCAGTATAACCATAAGAACCAAGTATAACTCTATAAGTGAAGAGGAGTCTTTGACAGTGGATTTAACTTCCTTAGAGTCTGGTAGTGGCTCAAAGAAAAGAAAGAAGGGATTTAGCACAAGGGCCATATCAGTAGAGTACTGGGATAGAGGCATGACATCATCTTTAAAAGGTCTGTTTATTTAGAGGGAAAACGTCAAGAAAACCTGCCTTTTAAATGTATGTACCCAATCCTACACAATCAGTTCAAGAAGCT